ATTGTGAGAAAGGGAGAAAAGTACCTCCTTCCCTACCTGCTCTATCCCATGTATAACCTTATAAACCTCGATCATGTCACCCCTCAGCCGTCGTTTCTCCACGCTAAAGAGCCCCAAGCGCTTCAACCTTTCTTCATAGGGAAAGTGTTCCAACCCGTTTATCATTCGAGTTGCCCTTTTCTGCACTTTTTCCAAAGCTATAATATCCTTTTTAAGGGGTGGTGACCAGAACTGCACACAGTATTCCATGGATTTCCATCCCACCCTTCTGCCAGGGAGCAATGTACATCGTCTCCCACCACTTAATCCTTGCAACAGGGGGGTTGTCCTAACTTCAACCAGCAATCTTCATGGCTGGATGGGGATCGAACCCAGGCCTCCCAAAGCCTCACACTCTAACCACTGCACCATGCTGGGTTCCCCACAATCCCGTTTCTAGAAAGGGTCTGCCCTTTCTTTCTTGTGTGGGCACCTCCAGCACGGAATGCCACCAGATCAGCTGTCGCTGGAACCGACACGATTCCGCAAAAAGAATTTCTGGGCTGTTTTCCCAATGAGGGCAGGCAAATTAAAATGCTTCTCTTCTTCCTCCTCTCCTGCACAGGATCTGAAAAAATACGGCGCAACGACGGTAGTGAGAGTTTGTGAAGTCACCTATGACAAGACTCCGCTGGAAAAAGACGGCATTACGGTAATGGTAGGTACCCTACGCCCTCATTCCTCGTTGAGACAGTCCCGTGTTGCAGCTGGGCGATTCGCAGGTGTGTCAGATAACTCTATTTTTTTAGCACAGCCATAGCAATCAACAACATACAAAAAGAAGGAAGATACAATAACATTGATGCCAAAATAGAATGTCAGTGCAAACTACCACATAAATTGATCAATAAAACAATAATACAAATTGACATAACCCTATTGATAAGTCTAAATCCATAGAATCCATACAGTCGTACAGAACAATATGATAAATCCTGCCAAAAGGAACTTATTAAATACATTTATTTATAAATATAATCTACTTCACTCATCTTAATTGTATCTTGGTAACTGATCCTACAAACTTTTGCCATTTGCACTGTGATCCATCTATCCTCATCTGCCAGTAACGCAGCTAATTTATTTTGGTCTGAGCTCCCTGGCCAACGTTGTAAAATATTTCTGAGGTACTTCAGAGAGGCAGTTTGGTGTAGTGATTAGGAGCGCAGACTCTAATCTGGGAGAACCAGGGTTGATTCCCCACTCCACACGCAGCTGCTGGTGTGACCTTGGGTCAGTCATAAGTTCTTTCAGAGCTGTTCTCTCAAGGGCAGTTCTTGAAAGAGCGCTTTCAGCCCCACCTACCTCACAGGGTGTCTGTTGTGGGGAGGGGAAGGGAAAGGGATTGTAAACTGCTCTGCAACTCCTTTGGGTAGTGAAGGACGGGGTATAAAAAAGGTAATTCAGGAGCAGAGACTGATAACAGTGTGGAGGTGAAGTGCGTAAGTGCAAGATTTTTGAAAAGTTCTTACCAGACACGTTCAAAAACGTAACAGTCACAGGCAGTGTTCCCTCTAAGCTGAGTTAGTGTGAGCTAGCTCACAGGTTTTTAGCCTCCAGCTCACACATTTTTGCCTTAGCTCAGGAAGGGAGGGCTCCGGAGCAAACCAATTTATGCAGTAGACAAATTGCTCACTCACCGCTTCAATGCCAGTAGCTCACAAAACAGAATTTTTGCTCACAATACTCCGCAGCTTAGAGGGAACATTGGTCACAGGTCTGATGCAACTTCCTCCCGACAGAAATGTAGGGTATCACTTGCATGTGTGAGCCCTCACCCCAGAAACTATGCTCTGCTTTGTACCCCTTGTACTGTCCGTGCTCTCTGTTAAAGAGGCTGGGGTGTGGATTCGCCCGGCCGTGGAAAGTTCAGGTGGGAGACTGTTCCAATCCCTCCCCATTCTGATCTGGTTCTGCTGAGTAGAACTTCTGAACATTTCGGAGTGTGCGAATGCCGGTTATTGAGAGGGGTTTTCCAGATGCACGAAACATTAACAACGGTATAGACGTTTCGGTCACATCGAAAACAAGGGTTGATAAACTAGGAAATGTGTATATGTTTACCGAGTCATCTGCGTACATCATTCCTGCCCCCAAAGAGGTGGTTGTTTGCGCTTCAGCATGTCAGTAAACTTTCCGTGGATCGTGGTAGTTTGGAACTGTGTTGGGATGGAGAAGAAGGTCTTTGCTGTCTCCTGCTGCATATGATGTGGTTTGCTTCCTCTGGTCACCACACCTTAAAAAGGATATTATAGCTTTGGGAAAAGTGCAGAAAAGGGCAACTCGAATGATAAAAGGGTTGGAACACTTTCCCTGTCTGTTGTGGGGAGGGGAAGAGAAAGGAGTTTGTAAGCCGCTCTGAGACACCTCTGGGTAGTGACGGGCCGGGTATAAATCCAATCTATTTTCTCCTCCTTGTAGGAGTTTGGTGTAGTGGTTACGTGTGCGGACTCTAATCTGGGAGAACCGGGTTTGATTCCCCACTCCTCCACTTACACCTGGCTGGATGACCTTGGGCCAGCCGTAGTTCTGATAAGAGCTGTTCTTGAAAAAGAGCAGTTTCTGTCAAGAGCTCTCTCAGCCCCGCCTACCTCACAGGGTGTCTGTTGTGGGGAGGGGAAGGGAAAGGAGTTTGTAAGCCGCTCTGAGACACCTTTGGGTTGTGAAGGGCGGGGTATAAATCCAACCTCCTCCCCCTCCTCCCTCTTCTTCGTCCTCTTCTTCTTCTTCTTCTTCCTCTTCTTCTTCTTCTTCTTCTTCTTCTTCTTCTTCTTCTTCTTCTTCTTGCCTTGGAAACCCTCCAGGATCACTCTAAATCAGCTGTGACTTGACACCGCTTTCCATCACCAGAGCACTTGCTCATGGGTGAAATGGAAGTTCCGCAGGCCTTTTGCTGAGCTCTCCCGAGCAGGGAACATGCCCTCTTCGGAAACAGGTGCACAGGGGAATTCAGGGCAGGCAGGCCTGACTTCTGCCGGGAGCCGTAAAGCTGTGTGTGTGTGTGTGTGTGTGTGTGTGTGTGTGTGTGTGTGTGTGTTTAAGGGCTCTAAAAGCTCTTTGCTTGCATGAGTAAAACCAGCTGCTTGCGTTAACCCCCTGTGATTATCTCATACAGAATGCATGAAATTACGCGTCCCACTTCCCCACTTCAGCGGTTGGCTGGGTTACCCAAAGCCGTCGGGGTGGGGGGGGGGAGAGCGCAAGAAGAGGCAGATCCCATAAACACCAGCTCTGCCTCTGTAATTATAAATAAGTAAAGGCAGCACTGGGCATGATGTTTTGAGTTGGGAGAGCTGGGGAGTTTAGCCCTAAACGGTCTGGGACCATCATATGGTCTGGAAAGCATATGGAGCAGAGGTCCAACAGTGGCTATTAGCCACAAGGTATAGATAGGGACTCTGGGGCAAGGGATGTTCTGTATTCTTGGTGCTTGGGGGGGTCAACAGTGGGAGGGCTTCTAATGTCCTGGCCCCACTGGTGGACCTCCTGATGGCACTGGTATTTCTGGCCACTGTGTGACAGACAGAGTGTTGGACTGGATGGGCCTTTGGCCTGATCCAACATTGGCGTCTCTTATGTTCTATGTTCATATCTGAGGGACCGGTTCTCTCACTCTAATCCCCTTCATCACGCCACTTGGTGGTGGTGCCGGGCCTCCAAGAGGTCTGCCTGGCTACCTCCAGGACAAGGGCCTTTTCCGCCTTGGCCCCGTCCTGGCTGAATGCCTCGCCAGACGAGGTTCGAGCCCTGCGGGGCCTTCCGAGCTTCCACGGGGCTTGCAAGTCAGTCTTGTTCAGGGAGGGCCCTCCTGGAACTTCTCATCCACCCATTCACATCTGTGTATTTTATTAATCGTTTTTGAATGGTCAGTGTCTGATTTAGGTGTAGTGGTTAAGTGTGCGGACTCTAATCTGGGAGAACCGGGTTTTATTCCCCACTCCTCCACTTGTAGCTGCTGATGTGACCTTGGGTCGGTCACAAGCTCTGGCACAGCTGTTCCTGAAAGAGCAGTTTCTGTCAGAGTTCTCTCAGCCCCACCCACCTCACAGGGTGACTGTTGTGGGGAGGGGAAGGGAAAGGAGTTTGTAAGCCGCTCTGAGACTCCAAGTGAAGGGCGGGGTATAAATCAAATCTCTTCTTCTTCTCTTCTCGTATATACTATGTATTTTTATATACAATTGATTTTTTATTGTTCTAATCGGCTCTGAACCTTCGGGAGAGGGCAGAACAGAAATCTAATAATGAAGAAGGATAAGATGAGATTGGATCTGTACCCCGCCCTTCACTCGGAGTCTCAGAGCGGCTCACAATCTCCTTTCCCTTCCCCTCCCCATAACAGACACCCTGTGAGCAGTGTTCCCTCTAAGCTGAGTGAGTGTGAGCTAGCTCACAGTTTTTTAGCCTCCGGCTCACAGATTTTTGTCTTCGCTCAGGAAGGGCGGCTTCAGAGCAAACTAATTTATGCAGTAGCCAAATGGCTCGCTCATAACTTAAATGCCAGTAGCTCAAAAAGTAGAATTTTTGCTCGCAAGACTCCACAGCTTAGAGGGAGCATTGCCTGTGAGGTAGGCGAGGCTGAGAGAGCTCTTTTGAGGACTGCTCTTGAGAGAACAGCTCCGAAAGAACTTGTGTCTGACCCAAGGTCACACCAGCAGCTGCACAGGGAGGAGTGGGGAATCAAACCCGGTTCTCCCAGATTAGAGTCTGCACTTCTAACCACTACACATATGTATGACTTGTAAACATAAAGACTCTCTCCTGGTAGATCTAGTGCAATTGATACATAAGCTTTATGTTCTTCGATTGCACACTGGTGACTTCGTTTGAGAGATATCTGGACTCAGCCGATGGTTGTTTCTTCTGCTTCTTTTGCAAGCTGATACTGATGTTGACGGTGGCGGAAATTTTGGCCGCAGCGCCTTCAGCATGAGGGTGGAATTAGTCTGGCATTAGAGGGATTTGTGTTGTCCAAGACCCGTTGGGTCATCGGATAAAAGAACAAGGCTGTTTAGGTCAGCAGAAAAGCCCCGTTTGGCAGTTCCGGCAGCGATGTCCATTCCCCTCCGCCAAGGGAGACAAGGCAGTGTCAGGACACTAGTTCGAATGCTGGACCAAGAAGAAGAGAAGAGATTGGATAACACTCTCTACATGGGGCTGCCCTTGTCCCAAATCCAGAAGCTCCAGCTAGTGCAAAATGCTGCGGCCAGGCTGTTGATGGGCCTACCTATACGGGAACCCATCCAGCCTGTGCCGAGAGCACCGCACCGGCTGCCAATAGCATACCGGATTCGCTTCAAGATGCTGGCTTTGTCCTTTAAAGCCCTTTATGGTCAGGGTCTGGCATATCTAAGGGACCGCCTTTCCCCATCTGTTCCCCAGAGAGCACTGCGTTCAGGGGCCCAAAACCGGTTGGCCCTTCCAGGTCCCAAAGACGCCAGGTTGGCGATAACCAGGGCCAGGGCCTTCTCGGGGGCGGCTCCATACTGATGGAATGAGCTCCCCGAAGAGATCAGGGTCCTGTGGGACCTTTTACAGTTTCGCGGGGGCCTGCATGACGGAGCTCTTCCGCCAGGCATTCAACTAAGGAGCCGCATATACACCGAGGAGGGTCCCTGTGCCCAGGCCTCACCATCTTTAGCCTGCACGTGCTGCATGTATATAAGGAGATCAGTGGAGCTGGCGCAGGATCATCACTACTATTGTCACCAGTGTTCCCTCTAAGCTGAGTTAGTGTGAGCTAGCTCACAGTTTTTTAGTCTCCGGCTCACACATTTTTTGTCTTGGCTCAGGAAGGAGCCAGTTTATTCCCCAGTTTGTTTGTTTTTTTTGGGGGGGGAACAGACATTTTTGGGAAAATTGGAAGAAATGCTACATTAGCACTTCTTTTTTCTTTCGAACTCGTTACGAGGGCCAGATCTGACATAAATGAGACCTTGTTGGGCCAGGCCATGTGTGCCAGATTGAAAGTCATTCTGTTACTTTAGGAACATAAAATACGACTGTGGACGTTTTTACTTGGCATGAAATTATCACAACTAGCATATTAAAAATATTGTGTACCCAAACAATTATTACAAACAGAATACCCACCCACATGCAAAAACAAAACTGAAAGCTTTTTCTTTTCTTGTGACAACAGCACCTCCTAAAGGAAGAAAATGCATCTTGTTCTTGCATTGGAGAGTTCAGTTTGTAACCTAGGACTGGCTTGTCCTCCGTGCGCAGAAATTAGATCAATCTGATACCGTACATATTTTTTAGAAATGATTTGGAAAATATCTGAACACCTGGTCTTAAAATATTTTATTCATCGTGTTAAAATAAAACGTTCCATAATCAATTTCTTTTCTTTTCAATTTTTCCAATTTTTTGGAAGAAAAACAAAAAAAGGCTTC